TCCAGTCAGTGGGAATTGCCATATGGGAGTCTTATATAAAAAAACGCGATCACCACTGCACATATCTTCGCCACTGATCGTCCTGTTTGAATTGAATTGAAACAGTTTATTTAGCCAGAAAAATACAGATACGGAGTGGATAATAATAAAAATATTAACATGCCTAAACCCCAGGCAGTGTTAAGGTGTTGTGTTTTCAATTATCGGGTGACGTAAGCTGGGATACTTATCTTCAGGTGATCCGGTTTCGCTACGTGATTGATTGGTACATGTTTACACGTCATAATCACCAAGAGCTTTCTTAATTATGGCTTTCATAACCGTTTTTTACTGATGGCTTAGTTACCAGTGGCTTTGTTATCAATGACTGTTGCATATGGCTTTATTATCAATGGCTTTTTTACCTGTGACTTTGTTAACTATGGCTTGGTTACCTGTGGCTTTGTTACCACTGCATTGCAATAAAATACAGATGTTGTTTTTACATAAATTAGCCTTAAGCATGCGAAGCCGTTAGTTAATATAGCTGTACATCTTATTACAACACCCCTCTATAGTGTAGCCAGAAACATTATTTGTGATTTAGAGAGAGAGAGAGAGAGAGAGAGAGAGAGAGAGAGAGAGGATTGCTGCAACGTTAAGGGTAAGGTGGACAAACAATGTGATCGAGAAGAGACATAACATTGTCAACCAGGACGTAAACAACTGATGTGGATTCCTCATGGTCACCGTCAACTTCATGTCAAGAGAATGATTCCTGGTGTATTGCAACGTCCTTGTAGACTCAAGATGATGGAAATAGGAACACTTACACACTTGGGAAAAGGAACACACACACACACACACACACACACACACACTGATAAAAACTCACAGGAAAGGGGAAAGGGATTTTAAGAATATGAGTCTAGCTTCCTTCCTAGTAGTACAGGTGTATAGTGAAGGTCAGGGTTAGTACAGGTGTATAGTGAAGGTCAGGGTTAGTACAGGTGTATAGTGAAGGTCAAGGTTAGTACAGGTGTATAGTGAAGGTCAAGGTTAGTACAGGTGTATAGTGAAGGTCAGGGTTAGTACAGGTGTATAGTGAAGGTCAGGGTTAGTACAGGTGTATAGTGAAGGTCAGGGTTAGTACAGGTGTATAGTGAAGGTCAGGGGTTAGTACAGGTGTATAGTGAAGGTCAGGGTTAGTACAGGTGTATAGTGAAGGTCAAGGTTAGTACAGGTGTATAGTGAAGGTCAAGGTTAGTACAGGTGTATAGTGAAGGTCAGGGTTAGTACAGGTGTATAGTGAAGGTCAAGGTTAGTACAGGTGTATAGTGAAGGTCAAGGTTAGTACAGGTGTATAGTGAAGGTCAAGGTTAGTACAGGTGTATAGTGAAGGTCAAGGTTAGTACAGGTGTATAGTGAAGGTCAAGGTTAGTACAGGTGTATAGTGAAGGTCAAGGTTAGTACAGGTGTATAGTGAAGGTCAAGGTTAGTACAGGTGTATAGTGAAGGTCAGGTTAGTACAGGTGTATAGTGAAGGTCAAGGGTACAGGTCAAGGTTAGTACAGGTGTAGTGAAGGTCAAGGTTAGTACAGGTGTATAGTGAAGGTCAAGGTTAGTACAGGTGTATAGTGAAGGTCAAGGTTAGTACAGGTGTATAGTGAAGGGTTAGTACAGGTGTATAGAAGGTCAAGGTTAGGTGTATAGTGAAGGTCAGGGTTAGTACAGGTGTATAGTGAAGGTCAGGGTTAGTACAGGTGTATAGTGAAGGTCAGGTTAGTACAGGTGTATAGTGAAGGTCAAGGTTAGTACAGGTGTATAGTAAAGGTCAGGTTAGGTGTATAGTGAAGGTCAAGTACAGGTTAGTAAGGTTAGTACAGGTGTATAGTGAAGGTTAGTACAGGTGTATAGTGAAGGTCAAGGTTAGTACAGGTGTATAGTGAAGGTCAAGGTTAGTACAGGTGTATAGTGAAGGTCAAGGTTAGTACAGGTATAGTGAAGGTCAAGGTTAGTACAGGTGTATAGTGAAGGTCAAGGTTAGTACAGGTAGTGAAGGTCAAGGTTAGTACAGGTCAAGGTTAGTACAGGGTTAGTACAGGTGTATAGTGAAGGTCAAGGTTAGTACAGGTGTATAGTGAAGGTCAAGGTTAGTACAGGTATATAGTGAAGGTCAAGGTTAGTACAGGTGTATAGTGAACGTCAAGGTTAGTACACGTGTATAGTGAAGGTCAGGGTTAGTACAGGTGTATAGTGAAGGTCAAGGTTAGTACAGGTGTATAGTGAAGATCAAGGTTAGTACAGGTGTATAGTGAAGGTCAGGGTTAGTACAGGTATATAGTGAAGGTCAAGGTTAGTACAGGTATATAGTGAAGGTCAGGGTTAGTACAGGTATATAGTGAAGGTCAAGGTTAGTACAGGTGTATAGTGAAGGTCAGGGTTAGTACAGGTGTATAGTGAAGGTCAAGGTTAGTACAGGTATATAGTGAAGGTCAAGGTTAGTACAGGTGTATAGTGAAGGTCAGGGTTAGTACAGGTATATAGTGAAGGTCAAGGTTAGTACAGGTATATAGTGAAGGTCAAGGTTAGTACAGGTGTATAGTGAAGGTCAGGGTTAGTACAGGTATATAGTGAAGGTCAAGGTTAGTACAGGTATATAGTGAAGGTCAGGGTTAGTACAGGTATATAGTGAAGGTCAAGATTAGTACAGGTGTATAGTGAAGGTCAGGGTTAGTACAGGTGTATAGTGAAGGTCAGGGTTAGTACAGGTGTATAGTGAAGGTCAAGGTTAGTACAGGTGTATAGTGAAGGTCAAGGTTAGTACAGGTATATAGTGAAGGTCAAGGTTAGTACTGGTATATAGTGAAGGTCAGGGTTAGTACAGGTATATAGTGAAGGTCAAGGTTAGTACAGGTGTATAGTGAAAGTCAAGGTTAGTACAGGTGTATAGTGAAGGTCAAGGTTAGTACAGGTGTATAGTGAAGGTCAAGGTTAGTACAGGTATATAGTGAAGGTCAAGGTTAGTACAGGTATATAGTGAAGTTGACGGTGGGTGCAAGTACAGATTGTGTTTGAAATTTTACATAACTACTGTTAATAAAACCATGTGAATTATTCGTTTTAAAGCCGATATAAATTTTCTCAGTCCTCAGCAACCAAATAGAGGAGAGAGAGAGAGAGAGAGAGAGAGAGAGAGAGAGAGAGAGAGAGAGAGAGAGAGAGCTCATTATACCTGTAGCCTAAACTACTTGTGTGTTGGTGGCAGTGTTTGTGAGCAAGACGCTAAGCCATAACACTGCCGGGCTAATCTCTCTCACCTTGGCCGTAAGCAGTCTTTGATTATTATTGTTTTTATGAGATACGTCCTTGCAGCTTTACCTCCACTATGATCCCAGTTATCCGTGGTTACTATTCTCACAGTCTTGTTGATCACTAGTCACGCTTAGTTTGACTAGGATGGGCGATAGCGCTTCCATTATGCCTGTGGATGTTGAATGCATTACTGTGTTTCAACAGCTATAGTCTTTAAACCCGTGAATTGGATTATTAATTGCAATAATCACCAACTATTAAATATTATACGGTAAATAACTACAATATGTTCAATACTTGCGATTTATAGTATTGTCAACAAGTACAGAGTGTTTTCGAATGAGTTATTAAACAGTACAGTACACGAGTTTAAACCAACTTTACTACTTTCTAGGTCGCTTTAGCCTCACCGTGTTAATATTTTATCTGTGTCGTGAGCGTGATGGGGGGGAGGAAGTACCGGGAGAGGTGTGGTAGTGAGGTTTAGGGGGGGTGGTGGTGAGAGTGGGGGGGGAATAGTGGGATTTAACGTGTGTGTGTGTGTGTGTGTGTGTGTGTGTGTGTGTGTGTGTGTGTGTGTGTGTGTGTGTGTGTGTGTGTGTGTGTGTGTGTGTGTGTGTGTGTGTGTGTGTGTGTGTGTGTGTGTGTGTGTGTGTGTGTGTGTGTGTGTGTGTGTGTGTGTGTGTCGGTTAGTCTCATTCCTTTGCTTTTACAGTATCGAGTAGAAAATTCCTGAGCAGCAAGGATCACCTGCCTGCTGCAGTAACACGTAAGTCTGCCTTTATTTATATTCTTTCTTACCTGGTTAACTTAGCTATTCTCTCTCTCTTTCTCTTTCTATCTCTCTCTATCGAAGTATTTCTCCACAGTCCTCTTTATATTTATCTCAATGTGTGTGTGTGTGTGTGTGTGCAACAGAGTTATGGCGGTGAAGGTTCAGACACACACTAAGTCTCCCTATTCCATAACAATATGTTAAACACACAATTAAAAATAACGAATCGTACATTGTAAACGGCACGTGGCTTTATTATTAGCAGTATGGTAATATTAACATCTTTCTGAACTAATGAAGTTGGAAAAGGTGGGAAGGGGAAGAGGGATAGAGACATAGTTGTGATGGAAAAGGTAGAGGAAGAGAAAGTAACAGGAGAAGGGAAGAGATAATGTCTAAGGATACGAATTCCTAAACAGAGTTCGCTAACCTCACCTACGATGACGTCATATACGTGGGTGTGGGGGCGGGGTCTAGGACAGACATAATAAATTATTGGTAAAGTGTGGGATGGAGTTACTTTACTTTACTTTAGTTGGTGAAAGGAAAGTTTACCAAGGATGGATGTAGTGAGCAGATGGAAGACAGATAGGACGGGGAGAAAGCGGAAGACAAAGGAAGACGTGGTAGACTCGGGTAGAGGATAGGAGATGACGAGGTTTAGAACAACGTAAACACCATACTTGAGCTCCACTAACTGTTCACTTTATAATTTCAGTTGTTTAGAAAGACGTAGCAGGAGGGATAAGGGACAGGTGACGCAAAGGGAGGGGAAGAAATGAGAAAAAGGGATGGGAGATGGTAGGATAGGGAAGAAAAGGAAAGGACAGGAGTTGGGAGAGGAGAGGGGGGAGGGTAGGTAAGGGGCAGGGGAGGAGCTATAGTGGAGTAAATCGCTACCTGTGAGAGTGAGCGAGTGTCAGTTGTAGGCTGAGCTTCAATCGAACAACACCACCCAACACCACTTCCTCCAGCCCCCCAAATCCGTTATCGCCTTGGACTAATCGCACCACACACTCACACTCACATCGCTCATTCAACAGCACCAACACGTGAATGCTAATTCACGTCCCCCCCACAGATTAAAACCCTAATGGGAAATTTAACCAGGATTTTTATACGGTATTAAATCGCACTCTGTCGCAACACACACACATATCCTCCCCGCGTTAGTCACCTCACACGATTTTAAGTTTAATTTAGGTTTCCACAACTTATAAATCTTGTGCTTTAGTCTCCTATCGCTTACAAGACCTGGACTTTGAGTAGTTTTTGTTTTTTCAAATCCTCTTATACTATCCAATCCCAAGAGCTCTAGACCCTGTGCTGTTACGGGGACAGCCTCACCGAGAGCTCTCAAGTCCCAGTAATTTTTCAACGTTTTCCATACAAGTTAAATGATTTTAAAAGCCCGAGTATTCCTGTAGTGCACCTCTGCGCATCTCTAAAGTGTTTCACAATACTGAAAACTCTCAATACATACGAGAGTGAGGGGTGACCCGTGATTTTCTCTTCCTCACAACACTCTGGTTTCCTCGTCTCAGCTAAGATAAGAGGCCAGCATGGGTAAACAGTCCTTCAAGGTGGACACTAGTAATAACACGGTAAGTTAGTCTCATTTGTGATTTTCTATTCAATAATGTGTCATTTGATTGATCACATTTTCATTGGTTCTCCTGTGAGATTCAGTGGTTTTGATATAAGTTTAATACAATCGTACAACGACGAAGGTTCTGTCAATAGTGATGAAATATATAACTAATGAATAATAACGATATTTATTTAACAAGTGAAAAGAGCAGAGATCAGACTAGTGTGATTCAAATGAACTTAAAAATTACCATTATTAATATTGATTTTACCCAATATATTAGATTTATTTTTCCTGTCATCATCATAATAAAATCGATTCACGAGTTGCCATATACTGTACTCGAGTGCTGGCAGTCTTCAGCTCAATATTAAAATAAATTAAATATCAGTTTTAATTAGAAACGTTAAGCTGCACTAACCCATTATCAAAAGGCTCTTTGTCATGATCGGCATTATGGAAGTTGTCCACCTGATATTATTAAAATTATTACCTAAACGAAAAATATGTTGATGGCAGACGCGGAGGCAAGTGATGGCTGCATCGTATCCCGTGCCATTGTTAAGAATTATCTGATCATGTACAGTATGCTATCACACTCCACCGAAGTAGTAGAGGGACCATTGTTATGTTCCTGACACATTTCAGGGATACAGTAAAAATTACCTCAGACTGCACTGCACATCGAAAAAAAAATCACTAAATGTTCATAATAATTATAATAATTATAATAATAATAATAATAATAATAATAATAATAATATATTATTAATGTAATAATAACAATAGTAGTTATTAGAAAAATAATAATAATAATAAAGTAATGAATATAAATAATAATGTGTACCAAAAATAAGAGGAATAATCTAATAATTCATATACGAGATATATATGAGAGATACTGGATATGCATATAACAGCCAAGTTCGTGGTAACCTGTAAACGGTTCATATGTCCTGGCGTTATGTACGTCCGACAATTGTTAACATGATAAAAGGTTATTACGTATTCCAGTGCCATAACTGCCCATTAGGGACAGTGTGGATAGAACACCCAACATGAAGGCGGTCGAGTGTAGTGCCGCCCCGACACTACTGTACACTCGACCGCCTTCACTTCTCAAACTATATACAGTACAGTAGTAAAGTTGCGTGCGTACCTATGTACAACTGGGTTGGACTGGGAGTATCTCAGAATCGAGTCAACAGCACCCCTGGACAGGAGGAGATTACTGTATCCATCCACAACTGAAACAAGTGGGAATGGATTTTGATGATCCTCGTTATGTGGAACGCTGGATATATCACAAGATCTCATAAGGGTGTGGTGATGAGTCATGTTCCCGTCATCATCACACATAAACCTTCCAATAAAACACAATAACATTAACATAAACACTCAATAAGATGAGAAATATAACATTTTACATCATTGGTTAACATACTATAAATGTCTTACCCCCCAATTTGTTTTTAACACTGAACATTAAAGCATTGAATTATTAATTGGTATTAGATTCTGAGCTTCTGCTATTCCATGCAATTTTACTGTGTGTTTAATGTATGAATTTTAGTAATTAATTGATGACGATTTTAAAGCGACTGACTGACTGAGAGATCTTTTTGGACAGTTAGCGTGATCCCTAACTTATTATAATACTTGGTCGCTCTTGTTTAGAGAGATTTAAAGACTACTCGTTGTGAGGTTCGCAAAGTAGAGGATTTGTGAGTATAATGTACAGTGGAGTGGTTAAAAGAGGGCTCACTTTTCACAATTATATTACATGTACAATATATAGTGGCGGAGTAAAGTAGCTCATGACTGTAAACACTGGATGTGAAAGGTAGGTCAGAGTGTCACACTACAAGTACTGTACAAAAAAATTGCCATGAAAGCATTAAGAGAGAGAGAGAGAGAGAGTAAAGGAAAAGTAGTATGTCAGGTAAGACTACTTTCCTCTCGGGTCTGGTCAGCCTTGGGTTATCTGCGTACTGTACCTTGGGAGTTGTCTCTTCCTCTCTTTAACAGACAACACTCGACAACCACATTCCTATTCAGCCCTCCTCCTCTTCGTCGTACTACATTTACACACACGGTAAACCTATATTTAATAAGTAACGTACCTAAAATATACAGTACTCCATGAGGATACCAGTTAGTGAACACTTATAAGTTATAACGCTGAGAAAGTCAATGATGTCACACCCACCTCACGAGCCCTACCCTGATACAAGACAAGCTTTGAGTAGGGCGGGTACGTCATTCCAGCTATACCCTTATTGTTAACGCTCATAGGAGCGTTATTGGTTTGTTGCTGGAGAAATAAACCCTCAACGTTGACGCGTACCATATAATTCGGTCAAAACCTGTTAAAGAACATTTCTCATATAACAAATGCTGTTATCTCAGGACACATCATATGAATAATACAATCAATATACAGTACATAGCCTGTTAACATCTTAAATATAACTCGCATGTTATAACTATTGATACAGGAGACAATTGGTATAATATGATCAAATTACAGTACACAAATATACTTATTAAAGTTATTTAGAGTTTCTTAGCAGATTCTAATACTTCACGATCACTCACGTTTTAGGGTCTAGTGGTCTGAACCAACGTGTTGTCTGTCCTGAAGAAATCAGTAGACTACCCTCGAGGGCAATCTCAGCCCGGAGGCGAGGGCCATATGTTTTCATATTGAAACACCTCAGCAGATTGGTCAGCAAATTCGTTGTCAACACTATATCTCTTATCTCACCCCACCTCTCTCTCTCTCTCTCTCGCCTAGTTTATCTTATTATGGTTATCCCTCTCTTTCTCTCTCTCTTCTAGCTTATCTTACTGTGGCGGTAACACTCCCCCTGTCGGACTTCGCACGAAATCACGGCATATTATTAGATTCACTCTCCCACCCCTTCCAACAGGCAGAGTTTCGTCACTGGGCGTATTAACACTGAGTCCTTTGTCTTCACTTTAACACTTCGCACCAGGCCATCTTTGCTCGGTAGAGCTTCCAGTACTCTCCCTAGCATCCACTGACTTCTGGGAAGGGGTTGTCCAGAGATGATCACGATATCCGCAGCGTGGAGATTATGGCGAGTTTTGAAGAACCTTTGTCGCTGACGTAATGTTGGGAGATATTCTTTTACCCACCTTTTCCAAAATTGGTCCGCAATGAATTGGGCATGCTTCCATCTTCGTCGGTACCCTTCTGTCATGGACCGATCGCCTCTGGTGGACAGTGTCTCCGGGTTCATCCGTAGTATGTGGAGCGGCGTTAGTGCTTCTAGATCCTTTGGGTCGTCAGACACTAGGGTGATGGGCCTTCCGTTGATGATCTCTTCTACGGCACAGAACACAGTGCTGAGGCGTTCATCGTCTAGTGTCTGGGTGCCCACCACTCCCTGGAGGACCTTCCTTACAGTGCGGATTTGTCGCTCACACACTCCTCCCATGTGAGAGGCTGTCGGGGGGTTGAACTGCCATTCTATCTGTTTCTGTAGAAGGGCATTCCCGACCTTGTCACTGTTGTTCCAGCCGTTCACCACCTCTCGTAACTCTCGGTTAGCTCCAATCATGTTGGTTCCCCTGTCAGACCGAACACGCTTGGGAGGTCCCCTGCGGCAGGTGCATCTTGTTAGGGCATTGAGGAACGAGTCGGTGTCTAGTGAGGTGAGGACTTCTAGGTGTATGGCTCTGGTGGTCAGACTGGTGAATAAGCATCCCCATCTCTTCGCCCGGGCTCGTCCTTGTTTAACCAAAAAAGGGCCGAAGCAATCAATTCCAGTGTTGGTGAACGGCCGGCCTCCTGGGCGCACTCGATCTTCTGGCAGGTCGGCTTGGCGTTGATGGGTAGGCCTCCAGTTGCTTCTTCGACAAGTCACACACGTCCGTATTGTGCGGTCGAGTAATTTTCGGCACTTAGGTATCCAGTACGTCTCACGTATTATGGCAAGAGTGTGTTCTCGTCCTGAGTGTCCAGCTCTAGTTGAGTGTACCTCTCTCACGATGAGCCCCGTGATCCTGTTGTCCCTTGGTAATAAAATGGGATTCTCCTGGTCTGGGTGGAGAGCGGCGTGCTTCAGTCGGCCACCTACTCTGATCAGACCGTCTGTGTCTAGATGAGGTTCCAGCTGCCTTATGTCGCTACCTCTCACGGGTTGTCCCTGTATTAACATTCCTAGTTCTCGAGGAAATCCTTTCCTTTGCATAAATCTTAAGACAGCTAATTTCGCCTCTTCCAATTCGCTGACCTGGAGCCGATTTTTTCGGTGAAATTGTTGCTGAGATAACAGAGGTTGTCTCTCAAGCCACCAGATTTGTAGCAGCATGTTATGACTCGTCAACTGTACGATTTGATGAATGGACATCCAAAATGTCCAACAAGAGGCTGACATCAGCTCCTGAGCTGAGAAGCTTGCCTTCAACAACTGCAGCATTTGAACTGCTTGTGCTTTAGGCGCACTACCAGACCATGATTTGGAGAGCAGCCTTAGAAGTTGGTCCACCAAACCATGACCCAAGGCAGTACGAATGGTCAAGTGATCAGGCGTCCAATCTTCTGATTCTAGTTCCATTGCCTTCAGATGTGTCACCAACACCAGACATTATCCAAAAACTGATCAAATGCAGCTGTTCAGCCAATTGGCCATGTTCAACTGCTCGATATAGTTGTGTTGCTGCCATGCTATCATGCCCCATGTTCTGTTGTTGTCATGCAGAAAATGTGTGGCACAATGAAAGAACCATGACAACTCTTGATGATAATGAGGAAGATGATGAAAGCAATGATGACAATGTTGATTAATATCAAATATTTGAGTGTATAAATATATTAAAAAAATACAGTTCTATAATTTATGATATTGTGGATCTTTACAGAGTCTGGAATAAGATGGAGTAACCTTTTAGTGTATATATGATTAAGATCATATGTGAATATTTCTGTTTCCAGAGTATGTAATTAGTATAATGTGACTAAATGATCACTTTCTCTTATGAATGAAAGCAGAAATGTCTCCCACAATTGTTTTGGCAGCCATTTTGGACGCCATCTTAACTACAAACACCTAAGAGCCTACCTTACATCGATTGTTTTATCACAAGAACACAAGAATGGAGGAGACTGCAGCAGGCCTATTGACCCATACTGGGCAGTCCCGTTTATAACCCAACCCCTATTGCTCATATAAGCATCCAACTTGTGTTTGAAGCTATCCAGCGTATTCGAGTTAATGATGATATTTGGTAACTTGTTCCATTCATCCACTACTCTATTTCCAAACCAGTGTTTACCTATTTAACGCCGAAATCTAAATTTGTCTAATTTAAAACTATTGTTACAAGTTCGCTCCTGGTTGGATAGTATGAGTACCTTTGTAATGTCCCCTTTGTTTAACCCTGACTTCCATTTATACACCTCTGTCATGTCGCCCCTCACTCTACGTATCTCGAAGGAGTGCAAATTAAGATGCTTTAACCTGTCTCTGTACTCAAGGTTCCTAATGCCCGGGATTAGTCTTGTCATTCTCCTCTGGATTCTTTCCAAGGATTCTATATCCATTCTGTAATAAGGTGACCAGAACTGAACTGCGTAATCCAGGTGAGGTCTCACAAGCGCTAGATATAATTTTAAGATGACCTCGCTAGTCTTGTAACTAACACTCCTTTGTATGAACCCAAGTACTTTATTAGCATTGTTACGAGCAAAAATACATTGTTTACTTGGCTTAAGATTCCTACTTATCATTACTCCTAAATCTCTCTCGCAGTCGGATTTCACAATGGCATCGTTGTTCATCTGATAACTGGTTTCCCTGTTTACATCTCCTATACTGAGTACTTTACATTTGTCCACATTGAATTTCATCTGCCATTTTTCCGACCATTCGAAAAATTTGTTTAGATCTTCCTGTAGTTTTGCAGAGTCCTCGTCAGATTTAATTACACGTCCTATTTTAGTGTCATCAGCAAATTTACTTATGTTGCTGTCTATGCCGATATCTATGTCGTTTATGTATATAATAAATAATAATGGTCCAAGTACTGAGCCTTAGGGAACTCCAGTAGTGACGTTGCTCCAATGCGATTTAGTGCCGTTTATGCTCACTTGCTGTTTCCTGTCCCGTAACCACGCCCTAATCCATTTAAGGATATTATCTTTGATGCCATGCGTTTCTACCTTTCTTATTAGTCTTTCGTGGGGGACTCTGTCGAAGGCTTTGCTAAAGTCGAGATATACCACATCATAAATGTGCCCCTCGTCCACCGATTCGAAAACTGATGAAAAGAATGTTAATAGATTAGTTAGACACGAATGCCCGCTTGTAAAGCCATGTTGGGAATCATTGACCAACTTGTGCTTCTCCAGGTGGTTTCGCATAGAGTTTGAAATGATTGATTCTAGTAATTTGCCTACTATTGATGTTAGACTGATTGGGCGGTAGTTAGAGGATAATGATCTATCCCCCTTCTTGAAAATCGGTGTTACATTCGCTATCCTCCAGGATTCTGGTACTACACCTGTTTTTAATGACATGTTAAACAACTTTGCTAAGGGCATACTAAGCTCTTCCTTACATTCCTTTAATACTCTGGCAAATATCTCATCGGGACCAGGTGACTTGTTAGGCTTCAGTTTGTCTATTTGCTTATTAACATCGTTACTCGTCACTACTATCTCGCTTAATTTGTTTTCTTCACTATCTCTGAATAGAGTCAGTGCCTCGGGTATCATGTTTAAATTTTCGGTGGTGAAAACTGTTGAAAAATATTTATTCAGATTACTTGTATTGCTCATTTCTCCGTCGTTATCAGTTAGCTCGCCAGTATCTGAACATATTGGTCCAATCTTATCTTGTGTTTTAGTTTGATACATTTGGTAGAATCCTTTGGGGTTTGTCTTCGCCTCCCTTGCTACCTTCAGTTCATTATTCCTCTTTGCTTTTCTTATCTCGGTCTTAACCCTATCGGCCAATACCTTATAATACTCCCAGAGGTAAATTTCGCCACGGTTTATCCTTCTACCAATAGCTTTCCTTTGGTCAATAATGTTCTTTAAATAATTATTTATCCATTTAGGGTCATTGTTGTCTGATCTGAGTTTTTTGTATAGTATGTTCTGCTTTGTGCATGAAGTAACTCATTATATAAACTGTCGTGGAACTCGACAATCTCAAATCTCGTTATCAGGTCGGTGTCATCTGTCAGGTTCACGCCCAAGCGCGACACCCCCTCTCTCAGCTACCTCTTTAAACTATCAAAGTTTGCCCTTCTGAAATCTGGGACTTTAATGGAATTTTCCTTACGTCTGACCTGAAAATCTAACTGGAATCTAATTTCTTTGTGATTGCTGTTTGCAAGTTTGTTCCCTACCTCGACATTGCTAATGAGGTTTTCTCTGTTCGACAGAACTAAATCGAGTATATTATTACCCCAGGTGGGTTCGGTTGTATGTTGACTTAGGAAACAGTCCTGGATCGTTTCGAGGAAATCCTCTGATACTGAGTTACCCGTAAGGTCAGTCCAATCTATTTGGCCAAGGTTAAAATCGCCTACTATACAGACTTTGATGTGTATGGAAGCCCTGCACATTTCATCCCAGATAAGTCACTCATTAACTCTATCAAGGTTGGGAGGTCTATATATTACTCCTATGATTAATTTTTCCCGACCGTCGCTTAATTCTATCCAAATTGTTTCTGTATTCTGCTCAGTTTTTATTTCCTTATTTATTTCACACTTCAGATTATCCCTGACATAGATTGCTACTCCGCCTCCTTTCCTGGTCCGCCTATCGGTATGGAACAATTTGTATCCCGCAATTTGGTATTTGACCGGTAACTCACGTGAGTCTAGGTTGATCCATGTTTCAGTGAATGCTATTATATCGATTTTTTCGGTACATACCAAGGCCCTAATATCATCCATTTTGTTTCTCATACTTCTACTGTTCGCGTAGTAGACATTTAAGTTAGTCGTGTTGTGAGTCCTCTCTTTACCGAGTTTAGGTTTTAACTCCCTGTCTTATTTAGTTTTGTCATCATTCCTAACACAATTTCCCTGTAATCTTTCATTTTGTTTACCCGCTCCCACTGCAGTCTCCTCCACCCCCATGCCCGTATGTTCCCCTAGCAGTTTAAAGGCTTCGATATCCTTTGAACTGCCCTCTCGAGAGACCCAGCCAGGGTTGCCACCCCATCCCTAGACAGGTGTACCCCATCCCTAGCATAAAGGTCCCTTCTGCCGTAGAAGTTGTCCTAGTTGTCAATGAATGGGACTGATATTGACTTGCAATATCTGTCAATCTTACGATAAATGATCACACATAATATTCAAGGTTGAAGGTGCAAGAATACGAGTATTGGTTAGGAATACACACCCTAAAGCTAAATTCACGGGGTCCGTTAACAGATATATTTAATATTTACACCTCGCCCCCCTCCCCCCAGAGGCTCGGTGCCCGGAGATTTATCCTTGCTTCCCTGCCCTCTCAGCGGCCCTGCCAACACAAGGGGGTTTAGGAAAGTCTGGCAGAAACTTACCCTCCATGAACAATGAACAACATACACCCAGTACAGTCCAATAAAGTTGCGTCCCTGGAACCTTTATTTAACTCGAATTTTACCTAAGTTGGATTTTACTCAGTAAACTTAATTCCTAATGTTGACTTGCTAATTTGAATGGATAACAGTGATGGTGTCCCAATGCTACTCAACCACAAGCAGTACCCGAGTTTGCTCATACGCAACGCTACGTAGTAAATCTACGCATCTCAAATATTTTTATTATTTTCAATGGGACAGGAGTAAAAGTGAATTATCATATCCTGAGTATTACGTAGCCCAAGGATTCTCTTTTCCGGATCGTCAGAGACTTCTCTCAGTTAGTCAGTCATGGAAGAATTATATTCACAGCAGAAAAACACAACTGAAATAAAAGTATTGTACATTCTACTTATAATTAAAGGTAGAAGAGAGACAGAGAGAGAGAATGAAGGAAGAAAGAGTTTACTATCATAGAGAGAGAGAGAGAGAGAGAGAGAGAGAATTTACTATCATATAGTTAGAGAGAGAGAGAGAGAGAACACGCACCTGAGGAGTGGAGGGAAGACACACTATTGTATTACTGGTTTAGGATGGATATACAATACAAGGCAGCGGCGGCATGTGGAAGCATAACGAGGGAGTTATGAAAGCACAGTATACGACACGCATCTGATTCACTTGTTGCCTCCCTCACTCTTTGCCCCAACTCTACAATTCTGAACGTTACACGAGTGAATATATCTCAGCATAGATGAACATATTTGGACATAACTGAACAAATCTGGACATGACAATAAATCTGGACATAGCTGAACAAATTTGGACATGTCTGAACAAATTTGAACATGGTTGAACAAATTTGGACACGACTGAAAAAAATTGGACATGGCTGAACAAATACGGACATGGTTAAACAAATATGGACATGAGTGAACAAATATGGACATGGCTGAACAAATATGGACATGGCTGAACAAATATGGACATGGCTGAACAAATATGGACATGGCTGAATAAATTTGGACCATGGGTGAACACATTTGGCAATAACTTAACAAATTTGAGCACGGCAATTAATTTGAACAAGACTGATCAAATATAAATGAGAGAGAGAGAGAGAGAGAGAGAGAAATTTATGGATGAGAGACAGTTTGGGCAAGATAAAGATGACCCTTGCCTCAACCTTAACACACCTAACCTAACCCATACTTGCATCTGTCTCTCTCTCCTGTCATCTCTGATCCGATACAGTAAACTAAATGCGGTGATGTTCTCCCTCGCAGAACACCGACGACAACTGCACCGCACTCACCCAACACAGCGCCATTATCAAACAGGTAAAATTATCTCGAAGAGTTTGCTTAATTTACCTCTTATGTAACGGGAAATGTGAACTGGTAATATTAGTTAGGTCTGATTCTATGCAGGTAAAGGATATCTAAACTCTGTGTTAAAAAATATTTAGTGAGCAGAACTCTAACGCAATGTACAGTAAGACTAATCCCCTATTGTGTCCTGAGTAATCCTCTTTCTGCTGTGAGTAACCTTATATCTGTCATGAGTAATTTCCTTCCTGTCATGAGTAGTTGCCACTGATAAAACCTCATGAACCAACATAGGGATGCATTGGTATTTTTATAAGGCTTGCCTAGTAAGCTTCCTAGTCCTAATCATGTCCTTGTGTATTAACAAAACATAAGTAGCTTTTGTGTAGTTGTTCGTACAGTTATCTGAAATAATTACGACTATCCATGTTAAGCTTGAAGGGATTTTCGGTTTAGGTTCATATGCTATAATAATCACAAGTACAGTTGCAAAAAAAAAAATATTGAACAATATTATTACCAAAAGTTTTAGTACAGATATAAACTTACTAAAAAGTTTCTACATATTGCACTATGAACTTCACACGTGTACTACTACCACTACTACTCTTAATAATAATACTAATAATAATAACATCTACTGGTTACAAGTATGATGGTGTTTACTATGTTGGTTCTAACATGATGATAGTCCAGCACCAGATCTGATCCCTGCTGCTTTTGTGACTGTGGTCCATGTAAATACTGTGAAGGAAGTGTCTCAGTGGTATTTAGGGTGTGAATCAATGTGTCCCTGTACTTTGTAGTGTATACTGTAGTAGTGTCCCTGTATTTTGTAGTGTATACTGTAGTTTGTCCCTGTATTTTGTAGTGTATACTGTAGTAGTGTCCCTGTATTTTGTAGTGTATACTGTAGTTTGTCCCTCTATTTTGTAGTGTATACTGTAGTTTGTCCCTGTATTTTGTAGTGTATACTGTAATTTGTCCCTGTATTTTGTAGTGTATACTGTAGTAGTGTCCCTGTATTTTGTAGTGTATACTGTAGTTTGTCCCTGTATTTTGTAGTGTATACTGTAGTTTGTCCCTCTATTTTGTAGTGTATACTGTAATTTGTCCCTGTATTTTGTAGTGTATACTGTAGTAGTGTCCCTGTATTTTGTAGTGTATACTGTAGTTTGTCCCTGTATTTTGTAGTGTATACTGTAGTTTGTCCCTGTATTTTGTAGTGTATACTGTATTTTGTCCCTGTATTTTGTAGTGTATACTGTATTTTGTATACTGTAATTTGTCCCTGTATTTTGTAGTGTATACTGTATTTGTGTGTGTATACTGTAGTTTGTCCCTCTATTTTGTAGTGTATTGTAGTGTATACTGTAGTCCGTATTTTGTAGTATACTGTAGTAGTGTCCCTGTATTTTGTAGTGTATACTGTAGTTTGTCCCTGTATTTTGTAGTGTATACTGTAGTTTGTCCTGTATTTTGTAGTGTATACTGTATTTTGTAGTATATACTGTATTTTGTAGTATATATACTGTAGTTTGTCCCTGTATATTGTAGTATAGTCGTGTCCCTGTATCGTGTAGGATGTATTGCAGTTTGTCCCTGTATTTTGTAGTGTATAGCAGTGTCCCAGTATTTTGTAGTGTATAGTAGTGTCCCTGTATTTTGTAGTGTATACTGAAGTTTGTCCCTGTATTTTGTAGTGCATAGTCGTGTCCCTGTATCGTGTAGGATGTATTGCAGTTTGTCCCTGTATTTTGTAGTGTATAGCAGTGTCCCAGTATTTTGTAGTGTATAGTAGAGTCCCTGTATCTTGGTGGGTGTATGTGTCAATGTATCACTGTATCTTACAGCGATGGTTTCAGTGTACTCGTGTATCACTGTTCCAATGTATCGTTCAGGGTGGCGGCAGAGGGGTGGTGCATCCAGCCTCTGATCTGCCGCCCACTTACACCGACGCTGAAGAAAGACATAAGAATACAAAGGATATTCTAGTGGCGGTAAGTAACACCAGTCTGCCGGAGCAACATATCTGGGTATTATGAGGAGTTGTAAGCAGCTTCAGGAATATCACAATTATCACACCCCTTTACCCCCCCATCCCCCCTCTCCAGGTATACGGAAACTGCTGTCTCAGTTCAAATAAATTTTAGGTGGTTTAGGGGGTTAGAGGGGACTTATATCCGAGGATATCAATTACATTCCTTAAATTTTATATTTTGACCCAAATATTTGCTTTTGGAAAGTGGCAATTTTGACGTTTTCAGTTGTGACCTCCGAACCCGACTGAAATGGACTGAATTCCGCTACATATGGTTCTAACCCCCCCCCCCTCCCTTACCTTGGATTCAACAGCCAGGTTACTAGCCTTTTGTCACTGTCTTACCTTGCAACCGCACCTCAATGTCATCCTTGTTACTAAATCAACTATCTATCAGTCCTTTTCTAGTATATTAGTTTAAGATTAACTAACTGCATCATAACTTGAAACCCAAATGTATCTTATCTACCTTATGTCCCAGAGTCTAGTTTCACTGAGGTGCTTCTTAAAGCTTTATTACCATCACTATTACGAAGAGTAATAGTATTATATTCGCTATACCTGTCCTGCAGAATGTGTCCTTTTAGCCATAGTATCACTGAATCTTGCTGTTTGTGTCAGTGTATCGTGTTGGTGTACTAACTACTGTATATCACTGTTTCACTGTTTTGTGCAGGGCTTTGGCGGAGGGGTGGAGAATCAAGCATTCGAGGACGACGCCACAGCCAAGAAAAAGCCCAGGGACACGAATGATGCTGTTGTGGGGGTAAGTAATAATAATAATGTAAGATCTTCATAAAGATTATAGCTATACGTATACAGTATATACAAAGTTTGAAAATGAAACAAAAACGTGCAGGTACAATATATACCAAATTGCTGTACTTAGTATATTCCACGAGATTCAAGTTCTAAGTGATAAATGCAAACATTGACCAGTTCTAAAAAAGAAAGTAGCTAGCTCTCGGAACAAGGTCAAAGTCATAAAGAATCAGCCCCCCCCCCCTTTTTTTACTACTTTAGATTGCCCCTTTACACCATTAAAATGGTTTTACCTCTTCCTCACGACAGACAAGTTGTCTCTTACTCTCCCTCAGAAACAAATAACATTTGAACACATCTAAACATTAAAACGAAATTATAAAGGATAAAACGGTCAACAATAGAATCCAGCAGGAGGCTCAGCTTGTCATTCTCAACAACAAATGAATAAAGATGCTCACGCTGGGCGGACACAGTCCTTGGGACACAGGTGATCACACATTGTATGTTAACGGGACTCTGGTTGTGTGGTGTGGTCGTGGGAGGATCCTATAGCAGACGTAAACAAGATTTAGATATGTGGTCGTGGGAGACCATAGGGTACACTTAAGCATGACTGGTTACGTGGGTGTGGGAGGGGGGGGTGTCACTGAGTTTGACTTTTTGACCCTGAAAACATAGCACTTCTAGTGTTATTCTGGTGAATGTATATTTCAGATATGAATAATGTAACTCTTCCCACTCGTGGGTAATGCCAAGGGCATACCTAGTTAGTGATTTAGATAAACGTCACTGGCCGTCTAAGTCACGAGACCATCATGTTTTTAATTGAAGATGTTTAAATGTTGTATTAGCCGCTCTTATTAAGCGTATATGTTGTTCTCGTGGTACAGATGTTGTCACGTGCTGTGTTGAGTCTTACCCCCGGCACAGTATTAAAGTCTGTTTTAAGTTTCCAAGGAGGGTGTTGAATCATATAACAAGTACTTATATATTCTCCCTTCATTCTCAGTTATACTGTACAATATCGTTTTCTGTTGCTATATGTTTGGCAGCCTAAAGTTCTCCCCTTCTACAACTAGGAAGCAAATATCCATCTGGATTATCCTTGTCACTTCGCACAGGCCACCTTCAGCAGCACACCCTTCTCATGCCCTCGGCTTATTCACACACACTACTGTTCCAAGTCCCCTCACTTCATCTTACCCATGTTTCATTGTAACTACCCAACACTCTTTTCATCATCTTATTATCTGCATACTATACAGCTCATATATTGCTCGCAAACATGGCATATCTGTCGCTTATAATATCGGTGTGTTTGTCTTGTTTCGTCTTCCCTGAGAGCTTGAAATAATATTAGTAATAACAAGTGAGAACTGTCCTGACTCAGTTCAATGTTAACATGCCAGACCTTGAAAGGCAAGTGATTTACGATTATGACATTACAACTATTAAATTACACATCTATAATTAATGGATAATAATGATCAGCTATTAATACTTCGCCTGTAATTGTAAATTGATATTACCTTGTTTTAAAAGTCCCCGCCATTTTTGCTGTCATCTGCGTCTTCTCGCTGCTTGAATGAAGCACAGTAGTTTGGTAGTGCATTCTCGCATCTGTGGCAAAAGAAACAAAAGAAAAAAATACGCATGAATATTTGGTAACTTACATTTGCGTCTTTGTCATCAGAATTTTTTTTGAACAATTGATCCCTGATTTGTCAGTTATACAAGAAAAAATAAATAACATTAAACATTCTTACACCTAATTCTCTAAATCCATTACAATAAAGATAACTTACAAGGATAAGACAGGCATAATAAATATAATTCAGATGTAAAGCTGTACCAAATATCGAGAGATAAGCTTAAGAGATAAATGACGTCCATGACACACACACACACACAGCATATTGTTCAACACGTATCTGCTGTTATACTGTGGGGTAAGAACATAAGAACATAAGAATGGAGGAAACTGCAGCGGGCCTATTGGCCCATACTGGGCAGTCCCGTTTACACCCAACCCCTATTGCTCATATAAACATCCAACCTATGTTTGAAGCTATTCAGCGTATTCGAGTTAATGATGATATTTGGTAACTTGTTCCATTCATCCACTACTCTGTTTCCAAACCAGTGTTTACCTATTTCCCGCCTAAATCTAAATTTGTCTAATTTAAAACCATTGTTACGAGTTCGCTCCTGGTTGGATAGTTTGAGTACCTTTGTAATGTCCCCTTTGTTTAGCCCTGCCTTCCACTTGTACACCTCTATCAGGTCGCCCCTCGCTCTACGTCTCTCGAGGGAGTGCAAATTAAGATGCTTTAACCTGTCTCTATACTCAAGGTTCCTAATGCCCGGGATTAGTCTTGTCATTCTCCTCTGAATTCTTTCCAAGGATTCTATATCCATTCTGTAATACGGTGACCAGAACTGAACTGCGTAATCCAGGTGTGGTCTCACAAGAGCAAGATACAGTTTTAGGATGACCTCACTAGTCTTGTAACTAACACTCCTTTGTATGAACCCAAGTACTTTATTAGCCTTGTTACGAGCAAAAACACATTGTTTACTTGGCTTAAGGTTCCTACTTATCATTACTCCTAAATCTCTCTCGCAGTCGGATTTCTCTATGGCATCGTTGTTCATCTGGTATTGGTTTCCTGTTTACATCTCCTATACTGAGTACTTTACATTTGTCCACGTTGAATTTCATCTGCCATTTTTCAGACCATTCGAAAAATTTGTTTAGATCTTCCTGTAGTTTTGCGGAATCCTCGTCAGACTTAATAACACGTCCTATTTTAGTGTCATCAGCAAATTTACTTATGTTGCTGTCTATGCCGATATCTATGTCGTTTATGTATATAATAAATAATAATGGTCCAAGTACTGAGCCTTAGGGAACTCCACTAGTGACGTTGCTCCAATGCGATTTGGTGCCGTTTATGCTCACTCGCTGTTTCCTGTCCCGTAACCACGCCCTAATCCATTTAAGGATATTATCTTTGATGCCATGCGTTTCTACCTTTCTTATTAGTCTTTCGTGGGGGACTCTGTCGAAGGCTTTGCTAAAGTCGAGATATACCACATCATAAATGTGCCCCTCGTCCACCGATTCGAAAACTGATGAAAAGAATGTTAATAGATTAGTTAGACACGAATGCCCGCTTGTAAAGCCATGTTGGGAATCATTGACCAACTTGTGCTTCTCCAGGTGGTTTCGCATAGAGTTTGAAATGATTGATTCTAGTAATTTGCCTACTATTGATGTTAGACTGATTGGGCGGTAGTTAGAGGATAATGATCTATCCCCCTTCTTGAAAATCGGTGTTACATTCGCTATCCTCCAGGATTCTGGTACTACACCTGTAGTATATATATATATAGATATATATGCTGATAACCACAAGGAAAGAAGAAAACACGAAGTTCCCAAGCGCTTTCGTGTAATTCACATCTTCAGGGGTGAGTACAGACTAGAGAGAGTAATACAAATCAAGACCCATCATTAGCTCCGTTGGGTCAATCTCTTATAAACTATCTAAATGGTTAGTTTCTTTACTAAATCCCCTAGTTGGCAACATTTCTAACTCCAATATCAAGAATAATATGGATCTGGTTGATAAACTCAATAACTTACACATTAATCATGATTTTAAACTGGTCAGCTTTTATGTAACGTCACTCTTTACAAAGGTCCCAGTTGATGATTTACTAGAGTTCCTCATAGATTCCCTGGATAACATTTCACTGCCCGTCTCGAAAGACGACTTCATCGAACTCATCAAACTATGTATTAAGGATTGCAAATTCGAATTCAATGGGGAATATTATGCTCAAAAATTTGGTATGGCAATGGGTAATCCACTCTCACCTGTATTAAGCAACCTATATATGGAATTCTTTGAAAAGAAACTATTAAGCAATATTTTACCACCCTCAGCAGTCTGGTTTAGATATGTTGATGATGTATTATGTCTCTGGCCATGTAATGAGGACCTAAAAGCTTTCCTGCCACAACTTAACAACTTAGCCCCCTCGATCAAATTCACTGTGGAATTAGAGCAAGACTGTAAATTGCCATTCCTAGACTGTCTGATACACAGAATAGGTAACACTTTTAAGTTCAGTATTTATAGAAAACCAACTAATGTGTGTTCATACATTCATTATTATTCTGCCCACCATAATAAAGTCAAACAGTCAGTATTTTCAACAATGTTTTTACGTACCTTGAGAATTTGCAGTCCGGAATTCATCGATGAGGAATACAAATATATATATAATATTGGCTCAAACCTTAAATACCCTAGATCTTTCATAGACAAATGCTTAAACATTACTAAGAAAACTTTTTATAGAACTGATCCCAAGCCCACCCATGACCATAAGAATATCTTAATATTACCATTTCACAAAAATTTCTCACACATTCCTGCACAGCTAAAAACCTGGAACGTCAATGTAGCATTTAAAAACTCATGCACTGTTAAACAAATGTTAATCAAGAACTCCCCCAACAACACAATTGGTTGTATTTATAAAGTTCCTTGCAAGGAATGTAATATGTTTTACTTAGGCCAGACAGGTAAAGATCTTGTAACTAGAATTAAACAACACAAATACAGTGTTAGGACAGGCCAGGAATCCAATGCTCTGTTTGTTCATTTGAGGGATAACAAGCATTGCATTGACTGGGATAATGCCTCCTCAATATTACAATGTAAGTCAATTGACAGTAGGAACATCATAGAATCTAGCCTTATTAAACATACCGAAGCATTTAACATGAATTTGAGTAACGGCATGTACAAGCTGGACAATTTTGTAATTAAGAAGATTTGTGATCAGGTGAGAAGGCCGGGTCACTTGACCATCTGACCTGACCACCAACCGTTGTGTGCTATTTAAAGATTAGTAAGGTCATTACCTAATACCTGACCATTGTGAACCTGGTCTCACCCTCCTCTGTATATATACACCTTGATTTGT